TTTTTTTTTACTATCGATTCCACACGATTAAAATATAATACAGTGCCGCAAGACATAACGAAAAGCACCAGGAAATAAAGTTTTAGTATAAATATTGTGTTTATTGATAAAATAATATTTGAAAATTCTATTGTCCGTGACAATAAAATAATAAAAATGATTACAAAACTATCACRGTAACTATAACGTCTCAAATAACTTTACTCGAAGACTAAAAAAATGTACACAAAAACAAATTACAAATACACGTGTTGGTACTGTTCATAAAAAATGACTTACACGATAAACGGTACGGTTTAGGTAAGCAATAGTATAACTAATAATATCATAATTGCAGATGTATGGKMCCACGCCGGACGTCCGAGTGTAAAACAAATGACCGCGTGGCGGCGGCGATAACTACTACAAAACAATATAATATTTTCTAGACTTGCGGTCGGCGTGGTCGACTATAATATTATAGGCAGCCAACGCGTCACTTCCAGAACCAAAACACTCTGCTGACGCGGCCCACGGTGGCGTTCAGGGCGTTGTTCACGGCCCGGTCTGCCTTGTTCAGACCGTAGTTGACGTAATTATGGGCCTTGCCGATACCGACGGCCACGGTCTGTTCGGCCTTGCCTACGCCGTCGGCCACGAAGTGCTCGGCTTTGCCCACGGCCCCGGCCACCGAGTTCCCGGCTAACACGATCTTGCCGTTCACCAGGACGGCGGTCTGCTTGACGCGTGATTCGGCGCCGGTAGCCACGTCGTCGGCCCAGCCGGTGATCTCGTTAGTGATCTCCTCCCGGAGCTGTCCGTACTTCTTTTCGGCCGCTTGCGCGAACTTGATGACGCCGCCGAACAGCAGTCGCTGCTGTTCCCGTTCCCGTTCGAACACGGCCGCGTCGCGCTCGTCCACCGGCCGCGGCATAGTGCTCGCGATGATCGCGTCCAAGTTCGCGGCGAAGAACTCCAGGCTGGGCGCCGGGTTGACGACACCCGACAGCGGGTTCAGCTGTAGCGTCTGGATAGGCGGCCGATTGATCGCAGGGACGATTGCGTCCACGGCCACGGCGCTGGAGTTGGCCGCGGGGCCCGTGTACGTCCAGCCAAGGTCGTCGGTCTTCTGCAGTATTTCCTTGACCGGATCGTTGATCTGTTCGACGACCCTGGAGCTCCACAAGAAGTCCACGTGGTTAAAGTACGGGCTTTTGGCCGGAAATGCATCCACGACCATGGGCAGTTGGGCTTTAAGTTTCAACACGTCCTGCGAAGATGAAAACAACAAGTACGTTTAGTATAGTGAGCGGAAAGCGTGGCAAAAGTGTCCCGTGAAAGAATAATAATATCAAAGCTCACTGTCGTGTCGGCTAATATGTCATTTTCACCGTAGATCAACGTGATGGGCACTCGGATGGATTTCAAATCGTAAGTGGGCGGCTCGGTGGAATTGTAGTAACGCAAGTTCAAGGCACGGCCGTAATCGTACTGACCGAAAGTGTCTGTAAAAAAACGAAACGGRTTTAAAAACCTGGAGAATTTCACCCGAACTACGCTCGCGTGATGTCATACCTTTCAGTATGAACTGAGCAAAATGGGCAGCGAGATTGGACGATGTTCCCGCCGGAAAATGCCCCATGATGAGAGGAATCAATTTCTGAAATGCACAAGAAATATATCTATATATCATGTACAACGGATTGCGTTAACTATACACGATCGTTTTTCGACAACCGTCGCTCCATTTATAACAATAAATAGGTACTGATGAAATCATAAAAATATCATAATAATTACGGTGTCAAATTGATACGGGTCGCTGCCGCACACGGAAAATATGATGCATTTTTCACATATCATTTTCTGCGTTATTTTTTCTCTGCATATGGTAGACGCCAAAAACCTTTGCATACCCGATTGTGGCATTAACATCCCTTTCCATATCCTTTGAAATACGATCTAAATTATACAACAATGCCTGTCATTTTATTAATACATAATAATATTGTTACCATCATAGTTATACCGTTTGAATAACGAGTGCGATATAATAATCCTACGATTTCCGATAACCCGGATCATCGAATATATCAKAAATTATAAACATTTGAACTACATTACAATCGACGATTCAGCTAGTCTTATGCAATATTCTTGAATACGATTAAATACTTATACATTAACAATTTATTTGAGAACACAATAAAATAACCACGAAGAGGAAAATCAATTTTCAGATCAGTAGCGACGCATAGCTTGATGAAATTTCTCTGGACCTTGCTCCTGAAGAAACACACTTATCTGCAATAGTAAACAGATCCCAGCAAGACAACTGTACTATATTCCAAAACCCGTTGAGCGAATAATAATAATATGATTATGATTATTTTATTTTAATTATTTTAATTTTAAGCTCTCAAAAATATATATTTGCTCTCAAATATTAATGCCGAAATTTTTTCTTAAATACCTACCTATATACTCTTAATTAATACACATAATTGATTTTCRATAACTTATAGATTTTTTTTTAAAACATCACTGCCTTAATATTTTTTTTATTTAAAAATCTATAGTCAAAAAAAAAAACTTCTTATGATAAATAAGGCTAATCTCTACTAAAATGTATACGTTTTAATAGATAATTTTTGAGTGKTTTACGTAAATATGTTTACTTACATTCATTGTTTTTGCATACGGAGCAATAAATCTCAGAGACGATCTTGTATTCGACAAGAAGGCTACAGGTGCAAGACTAATTTGCGATCTGATTTTTGGCTGATATTCGGGTCTCTCTGAACCCATAATGAAAAATACACAACTGCCCATGGAATAACCTATGTAGTGGAGCTGTGAAGTTTTTGATATTGACAGAATATAATCGATAGAAGCTGGTAAATCATAGTAGCCGACTTCGTGTAAACTGCAACCATATATTAATGTGGAGTTAATATTAAAATAAAAATAAATTTATATACAAATAAAAACGTTTTGAATAAAAAAAAAATTTAAGTTGACTATAAGTTTTGATTTTCACCTTACAACACAGTGATAATTTATTTAAATAATTATAAGTCATTACAAAGTAAAATTTTTGAAAAAATTAATTATTTCAAATTTTTTTTTCTAATTTCCAAAGCTTTAGATGAGTATCTAGGTGCGTTAAGTGACACAAGGTAACCCGCAAATCGTTGGTCCACTACTCATTTTATCTATATTACTTGAAACTAATTATTAACTATTCGTCAGTAATTTGATTTTTATGCACAAATTTGTCTCCGAATAATATATTCTGCTTTGGAATATGAAGTTAAAAATTTATATTACACCTAATGCTARAAAGTTACAAATTATAAAAAATAATAAGCAATATATATATTTGTCAAAAATGTTGTTTTAACGATTTAAACAATTACTATGTAAAGTAAATATTTTTAAAAACGTTAATATATATTTTTTTTTTTTAACAATGAGTTTTAATTACGTTAAAAGAATTGTCTAATGGATTAAATTAGATCTGATAAACTATATGATATTAAATGATAAAACAATGAATTTACCTGAAATTCCAAAAAGCTTTTTGCTTGAAAGTCATCGAAATATGTTTTCTACTATAAGTATTACCGCGGCAGTTTGCCAACCACACGTCGTATCCGGCATCGGCGAGTTGCATGGCTGTATAYATAACATTTCGAATAAAACATGTGCGTTGATTTTGTATAATGTTTCGTTTATGCAATTAGGAATACAAGCAACACTTACGTAAAGACATTTCAGCTCCAGCGAGTACCCAATCAGCCGATGTCCCGAGAATGCCATGGTGGATGAACACCGGGTGGTTTCTGGTGGGTTCCTGTCCGCTCTTACTCCTGGGTATACGATGCAACTCCAAGATATAACCGTCGGCCGTGATAACATTGTGGACCTCAACGTCATAACCATTGTTTCGGATTATTTCAATCTAAAATTCAAATTTGATACTAATATTTTCTATTATTATATACTTATTACTAAATTATGTAATAAAATACGATGAATTGTAAAATTTGCTTTTCTCAAGAAATAAGATGATATTMATTATTGTAAGCTTATTTTTATTATTATTTTGTTTATATATATAAGCGGTATACAATCTTTATAAAATAGATACAATTAGCGTATGATGAATTAATACAAAAAAGCATGACAGAATAAAATTCTGAAAAGTGATAAAAGAAGCATTTTTAATGACACTAGGAGATCACAACATGATTCATGCTTCAGGTCTCTACGAGGTTACCTGCAGAAATTGATACAGGGAATATGTTTTTAATTAGCAAATTTAAATAATTAAATTATGGGATGGTTGACAATTATTGAACCTTTTATAGAATCATCATTTAATAGCTTCTTCATAAAGGTATAGTTTAAATCTTAAATGTGCGAGTAATGTTATGYTTGATAATATGTCGAGAGCATCATATTAATTCATTAGAAAACTTGATCTCGAAGATTTGAAAAAATTGAATTTTGTTTGAAATTCGTTTTTTTTTCATTCCTCCATTTTTTTTAACGAAAAAAAAAATGTTGTTAAATTATTACAGAAATCTGTTCGATTGATTATAGGACCGTTTAATGGAGAGAACATAACATGTTGTGAGGATTATGGATCAACAAATCTTATCTAAAAGTTGTTTGATTAATATTACTGCAGTAATTATACGATAATTGTCAATTGAACGACCGTATTCTGTTGTTGATATTAACAACTTGCATATAACGATTAATACCATTTAAGTAAGTTATAACTRCAATATAAGGTTAAAGTCATTGTTTCTTTGTTATAGGTATTGTTTTGTACTGTATGTATAGTGTTTGCCATAAATACATATCATGATATACATGATGCCTAGATGAAATATTTTATTCAAGTATTATACATATTAAGTACTAKTTAAGAACAAACATCGCAGAGATAAATTATTTGTTAATTTATTTTAAGCATATTATTAACAAATTTCAAAATGTTTCATGTCTTATAAAGCTTTTTGATAGGTGCAATAGTAATATATAATAAACACAATATTACTTGTTAGTTGTTGAATAAAAACAAAAAATAAATTTTAAAAACCACTATGGCCTTTGATGTGTTTGAAGAAGCACACATTATGGTAGTGTATTATAGGTATACTCACTGTGGATAAGCTGACATTTTCGAACAAGTTCATGGCGGACGACGTTGGAGTGTTCGTCAGCGTAAGTATTGTCGGCGCCAACAATAGATTAACGAATAACTGCTTAACCGCAAGTGGTGACCTGAAGAAGGAAATTGGAGTTTTTATATAGTTCATACTGCTGGCATYCGAAACGAGAACAAGCGTATATATTTCGAAGTAAATTTTCGCGAATTTAACTACTCAAGTATGATATATATAACAAGACAATCGACTGGAAAGGCGTCCACAAAAAAAAAAGGTATTAAAAACGACAAGAACGTTTTTCCGGTATGTACCTACTATATTGTATAGGACGAACTTCCGCAGCCGACCGCGTTACTAAATCAATAACGGCCGTTTGTCTGCCGTACTTATACAGTCTCGATTTCTCATCCCATGTTTATTATATAGTCAATACATCAAAGCGAAAAACACGATAATAYAATTGCACGTCACTGMAACATACCGAGCACGGATGGTAATATTATTATTGTTGTTAAGGTTTTTTAATCGCATATTATAATATTATRATATGTTTGAACGAATGAGTCACTCACGTCCATATTATTGCTCACCGCGGCGGAGGATGTGGCGGTGAATTCCGGAAGCGATAATAATACGCATCATTTATAAATACATCGTTACTATTATATACTATATTATTATTAAGCATGTCTAGTGAGTTGTAGTACGTCTGTTATATCGGTGATCTAACGACTGGATAGATAGGTCTAATACTCCGTTTTATGTATACCRCCGGGCAAGCGTGCTATTGAAGTTTTTCATTGATAAGTGGACAGCCCCACATCGTGGCAAAAAAATCGCTCCGAAAATATGTTAACTAAGAAATTCAAAATTGTAAGTTACACATTCTATAGGAATGAACTTACAATTAGTTTTACGAATCCAGAGAATAATAGCTAACGATTACATACAATAATTGGGTTTTTATCACTTAAACATTTTTTGGGAAGAGAGGCGACTTCAAACTCGCRCCATTATCTAAACCAATGGTTCGTGTTTCGATATTTCGTCGTTCTAACCTGTCGAAGACTTGACGTATGTTATTAAACTTACATAATATTTGAGTACAAACCATATTCATAGTTGGTGGTATAGGTATAGTCGAAGGAGTCAAAGGTCGAATAACCGTTTGATTAAAAAATAAAAAACTCTTCCATAATGGTCGGAAATCATTTTTATAAAAGAATCACTTATTAGTAGTCACTTATATAAATAAATTTCAACACATAGGTTTGTACCTATATAATATATTGTAATTTTAAGAAACAAAAAAGACAATTGGATTATAAAAAAGAAATATAATGTAAATCGTATAATATGATTTATATACATGGATTGGGTAAGTACTATCAAAGCTTAATGGTCTTCCCTTTTTTTTCACTAATAATGATTGGTAGGTACATGAATCAATATTATATCAAATGTATAACCAAATCCCGATAATTATAATTATATTGAAATATTAGGTAGGTATTCGTATTAATAGAGTTAAACGTTTTTAAAGTATTGACCTTCCCATAAATACTGCTTATTATAATAATTAATATATCTCAAAAATTATTTACAACGATGGTAGTTTTTTTTTTGTTTGTACCTAATTCAATCTTTTGTAAATGTATATTCAGTATCATATTTTAAACTGTAATATACTACCATATTATAACAAATTAAATTTTTGGATTTTTATTTTCCGTATTATTTAATAGATTTAGGTATACATTATAAGCTGGAATATTCTCAGCATTTAAAAGTTATATATAATATACATAATACATATTATACTTCACTAACTTTCTCCACTGTTAAACATAATGTACCCCCATATTCTTAAGACCAATATTTTTTAATTATTACAAACTAATGACCCCAGTTGTTGAAGTCTATTATCAACCCAATAAAAAAAGATTATTTTTTCTATATTTTAAAAATGTTTAAAATAATATAATTAATAATATAAATATGAAATATTTTATTGTATTTTAATATTTATTACATCTCCACTAGACTCTATTTATTATTCTGAGATTTCACTGAACTAAATATAGTCAGTAATATTATTAGATTGGAAAATAATTAAGTGATATTCTCTTTCAAACTCTCGAATGATTGAAAACATAAATAAAACTATAATATARTGTAATAAAATAATCTTAAAAATTATTGTTATCTAAACATTAGATTTTAATTATTGATACTCTCGTCCGCGCGTGTATAAGTACAGTCATTATACTATAATGCTACGTCGTTTGAATTTTAAATATAATTATTTATGTACCTATCTACTTAATTATACATATTCTATAATCCGCATATAATAAGGGCAACACAGTCTATATTATTGTTAATCGTAATCAGATGACTTAAGTGGTATATTAAATCGAATGCAATATGCAAAAAGAATAGTGCAACGAGTGTGATTGTATGTGAAAATACAGAAAATGGTTGTACAATACCTTTGCGGAAACTTTTCGAACAGAACAGTGTTGGATGCTCCTGTGCAGATTATTCAGTTTGCAGTTTACAATAAGTRAAAAACGTGTTAGGTTAAACTCGTAATAGCGTAAGGCGTGAGTAAAGTTATACCTCGATGTTATAATAAAAAGATATAAATTTAATTTTTATGAAACAGAATAATATTATTATATAATATGTGTATACACAAAGTATCTTTCACGAATAAATTGTTCTAGTGAAACTAAACAATGAGTTTGCAAAAATGTACACAGTTGATAAAAAAAATAATGCAATAAATAAATATTCGGCAATATTAACAATACATTTAAATGCTTTATTTTGATAAAATAAAATTTTTATTACCTATTTCATTGATTATCAATATACCATGTACGTACAAAAAAACTTAAAACGAACGGAACTCGCAGCTTAAATAATATGCTATTTGAATAAAAATAATTGATTTTCCTCGCCAAGGACTATGTGAGGAATTTGAAATATTATGTTAGTGCACCACACATAATAATTATTATGACTATTACTGTGTTTGTCGTAAACATGTAGGTCAATGTAAAGGCATAGTCTAATATAGAAGAAGAATCAGATGTATAATATGTAAAATATATTATTATGTATATTTTGTAAATATTAAATTATGGCAAAAATTAAAATTAAAACAATTGTTGCATTAAGAACGAAGATGTTTAAATACTAATAGATATTTTTGAACTATAKTTTTCTAATAATTTTCTTTGATAAAGACAATTTTTGGCATTACCAATTTAAATTATTMTTTTTAAGGCGAAAATGATGCAATCAATATAACATAACTCCTTATTAAATCAATTACTTAAAAAATACGTAGGTAGTAGGTAATGTTCGCAGGTAATCGGTATATATTATATAATAATATACAGTTATCAAAAGAAAAAAACTCATCTTTATAGTAAATGAAACAAGTTTAATTTTTTTTATACAGTATAAAAATTATTAAGTATGACTCTTAATGTTATACGATGTGATTGTTGGTTAGATAAAATTAAAAAGATCTTCTAATAAAGTCACTTCAGCAATTTGAAAATCAAATTTAAAAATCATTTTATTATACTACTCAGCTATTAATCAAATATATATGTTTCTGTAGTTATGACTTGTCGATCATTATAACAAGGCGTAAGAAAATAAATTAATTGTAACATTATAAAATAATAACGATAATAATAACAAGATTAACAGAACGTGTTAAAAAAAAAAATGGATATTATGGTATTATATAGGCTAGATACCTGTCCTACATACTATATATTATTTATTTATATATTACTATATCATGAAACTCAAATCGCGAGACAATGTAATATTAAAATATGCATTTCAATTTCAAATATTAAAATTTAAASTGAAGTTTGAATTATTATTATGTAATAATTGTAAAACATGGAGATAAATAAACACGAATTGTCTAMATATATAACTTTGGTGTAAAATACAGCGTATGTTTTGAAAGCAATAAAATCAATTTTTCAATTTTGACAGGTTAGTATAATTGCTAAGTATAATAAGTTTTTGACTTAATTAATGATTTGTATCTTTAAAAAGTTATAACGCTCAAATAATATTACATGTGAATACTTTTGGTGGCATTGT